TTCAACATTATGCTTAATGCAGCAGCAGTTAACATCTTGTACATTTCGTTCCCAAATCCTGCCTCTGATGATTTTCCTAACACGAAACCTTGCCTGCAGAACTGCTGTGCAGGCAGCTCACGGACAGTAGATGCACCTGAAACCAATGTCAACAAAAAGTTAACTTCTGAAAGAGATACAATAGCAATAGCTGTGCCACTCCAAAGTGCCATAAATCTTTCCTACCATACCAAAATTTTTCTTTGATGCAATGTTGAACCATTGAATAAATTACTTGCATAATTCTCACTCAAAAATTATTCAGAACAACCTAAATGAATAATAACAAATAAATTATTAATATAAGAAAATAATTAAGAAAGAATTATAGAGATAAGAAAATAATAAGAGAATGAATAATAACAAATAAATTATTAATATAAAGAAAAAGGAAGATAATGTAGGTACTTTACCTTATATTAGTTAAAATTTAAAATTTTGTTTATATATGTATAAATTTATTGTATATAATATTGAATTATTTGTTATTTTAATATATTTATATATTATTATAATAAAAAAAATCTAATAATAGATAGAAACAAAAATGTTAGATTGGAAGATATATAATGATTTTTTTTATATATCTGATTATGAGTTATATAAAAGAAAATAATATTCTTTTATTCTCAAATTTCTCTTAATTCAACTTAAAACTCAAACTTAAAATTTTTAACATAAAATCTTAAACTTTTAATTATTAAATTATCCCGTTATAATTTATAAGATATATAATGATCGATGATGATGATGATACAAAAGGTGACTACGCAGGAATGATGTTGGGTGAGGATAACCAGTGAAGAGAAATAACAACAGTAACAAATTATTAATATAGAAAAGGAAAGTAATGGTACATAAAGTTTAAAGTGAGAAAAAGTGAGAATATAAATTAAAAAATAGGTTAAAACTTTATTTTGATCCCTGAACTATTATATGGACCCTCGATTTGGTTTCTAAACTAAAAAAATTCTTGATTTGGTCCATACTGTTTATCATTTTAACCTCGATTTGGTCCTTCCGTTAAATATCCGCTTACGTGTCTTGTTACTTGATAGGGAAAAGGATGACATGTCAAATATTAATACACGTGGAAGACAATAAGACCAAAAAAAGTGATGATATGGAAAAAATAATAATATAAAAAAATATTATGAAAAATAAAACTTAAAAAATATTTTTTTTTCTTTTTCCTTCTCTTTCCTTTTCTCTTTCCCCTTCCCCTTCCCCTTCTCTTTCCCCTTCGAACCCAGCATGCTTGGGTTCGGTGGAACCCAGCACGCCTGGGTTCAATGAAACCCAGGCGCTGGGTTCCATCAAACCTAGGGGCAAAAAAAAAAAAAAAATTTATGTTCTCTTTGTTTGGGTTTTGTTGTTTGATGATATGAGAAATTGATTGATGAAAATGAAGAAGGCAAGGCAGCCATTGGGTTTTTGCAAGTGGATGAAGATGAAAAAGGCATAGGTGCTGGGTTTGATTTCTAGCATCGAACCCAGCAGCCGCTGGGTTCCTACAGGTGCTGGGTTTGAAGGTGCTGGGTTTGATTTCGAACCCAGCAGACACTGGGTTCTGTTTCGAACCTAGCAACCGTTGGGTCAATGGCTTTGTTGAGTTCCATTTGTTTATCGATCTATTGTCTGTTGGGTTCTGTTTCAAACTCAGTAGTCATTGGGTCGATGGATCTGTTGAGTTCGATCTATTTATGGATTTGTTATCTGTTGTGTTATCCTCAGATTCTTGCAGGTGCTGGATTCAATTTCGAACCCAGCAAGCGTTGGGTTTTGTTTCCAACCCAATTGCAGTTGGATCAAAGGATCTATTGATTTCCATCTGTTGGTTTGTTGTGTTATTCTCGGATTTAATATTAGGAGATGTTAGGGTTTGCAAAAGGTGAAAGGAAAGGGAGAGGAAGAAGAAAGGGAAAAAAGAAAAACAAAGAAAGAAAAAAAAAAGAAAAAGAAAATTTTTAAGGTAATTTCTTCCCATCTCATTTTTTTGCCACGCTATACATCCTAGGTGTCAAAATGTTTTAACATGTCATCCTTTTCCCCGTCAAGTAATAAGACACGTAAGCGGATATTTAATGGAAGGACCAAATTGGGGTTAAAATGGTAAACAATAAGGACCAAATCAGGGATTTTTTTAGTTTAGGGACCCAATCGATGGTCTGTACAATAGTTTAGGGACCCAAAATGGAGTTTTAACCTAAAAAATAATACTACAAGAAAAACTAATAAGAGATATGAGATATGGTGTGTAGGGATGACAATTTGCCTCAATCTCTGTGGGGTCCCGTGGGGATCCCTGTCACGGGAATGGGATGAGGAGAAATATTTTTTCTCGCAGGACGGGGATGGGAAGCATTTTTTCCCTGTGAAATTTTGCGAGGAAATTTCCTCGCCCCACAAGGATCCCCATCCCTGCAAAAAATTAAAAAGAAAATATAAATTAATTTTATTTTAAATTTAATATAATTTTAAAATCTAAACCTAATTCAATAAAATTTAACTCAACCCAACCCAACCCCAATCCAACCTAACCCAATCCTTTTAACTCTAAGCAGCCTTATACATTTCTCCATTTCTCCAGTGACTGCCTCTACCTCTCACTCTCGGACTCTCTCACACTCACTTAAGTCATCTTCCACCTTCCCTTTTGGCCCTCCCTTACAAATTTCAAACCCTAAATCCCTCAATCCCTTCATTGCTGCCCTTCTACCCTTCTCTATTTCACATCTCACCCTTTTGCCTTAAACTGGAGTTTGGATTGCTGCTACCAAACCAAATACGTCTGAGACTGCTACTGCTGCACCATGGTAGCTGTTGCGCCCCTGCTCTGCAACTGCTGCGCCACTGCTTTGCCACTGCTACGCCATTGCTTTGCCATGACTGCTGTTGCGCCACGACTGCTGTTGCGCCACTGTTGCTGTTGTTACTCAAAGTCGAAGTGGAAGTGTATATTTAGATATTTTGGTGGCGAACGGGGGGATACCCGTTCCCCACGGGGAATGGGGAAGGTGGCAAAATTTGCCTTCTATCGAAAATTCCCATAGAGATCCCTGTTTTCGCCATTCGCAGGGACGTGAAGGGACTTGCGGCCCCGTGGAGCCTCGTTGACATCTCTAATGGTGTGAAGGTAAACAGGTGCTAATGAAATAATGTTAAAAAATTGTAATTTTTAAATTTTAACTTAAATCTATAATTTTAAGTTTTTTAGTTTTAAATTTAAATTTAAAAATAATAATTTTTTAATGAATATATTAATAAGTGCATTAAATTAAAAAGTGTACTAATTATTTTTTAAATAAAATAATAATAATTCTGGTTATAGATGTAAATCTAAAAGAAATTAATAAAGATTTAATGAATTGTTTTATCATATTTATCTCAAAAAATTTTAATTAATATGAAAGTTGAATGTGTATTTATAATAAATTAATATAAGTTTCAAATAACTTTTATATTCATTA